AAACAAAGAAAAACCATCACTAGTATTTTTATTTCTAGATGCGCCCACAGTGCCCCACAAGCACTGACCTTTTCATTTACCTCTGTTCAGGGTTTGACGCCTACTTCACGTCCCGCACGCTTGAAAACAACAGAAGAAACGTATGGTTTGCCGAATACTGGGAGGAAAACTTCAACTGCAAGTTGACGATTAGTGGGTCAAAAAAAGAAGACACAGATCGCAAATGCACAGGTAATTTAATTCTCGTTGTCCTTCTCCTATTACTCCGTGTGGCTAGCATTGAAATGTCTGTGTAGCTGACAGAAGGAAGCTTGGCTGGAGACAAATTGAAAAAGTAAATTGAATTTTACTAGATTGTTCAGAAAATGGAACAGGAGCATAAGTTTTGCAGGACAAAAGAAGAACAGACAAGAACGTATTCTTTTCTGCCTGTCTATCTAGCAGTAATTGACATTTTCACTGATTCTTTGAATTCAGAAGGGGTCATGTTGCTTTGAATGCTCTCGTTGATAAATATTAGTTCGTGTTCCAGCTGGGAGTATGAAGTCATTTTCGCATAGACAAAAATCTCTGACAAATCCCATACCATTGCCAGATTTAACTCTTACTGTGGATAGTATATTTGGTTAAGGAAACAAAGTGCTTGGGTTTAGAATAGTGAAAATTCTAAATTATTTCCATAATGTCCGAGTTAATGAGTCATCTTTTACTTAAAATGTGCTTAAAATATTCACTGCTCCTTATATGTAACCTCGTATAGGTATTACGAAATGAAAAAAATGTTTGTGTGTGCATGTAAGTAGTCAGAAGGAAAAATTATACATTCATTCATTTATTCATTCACAAATATTTATTGAACAACTCCCTTGTGCTAAGTGCTGTCCTGGGCATTGTTGATGACGGTGAAAGGACACTGCTTCCATGCTGCTTAGAGTCTAGTGGAGGGAATCTGACGTTATTCTGGTGATCTTGCTAATGAATACGTAATTATAAACGTCCATGTGTGTTCTGGGGGTTATGAGGGCATATAATGAAGGAATTTCACTCATGTGGAAGATGAAAGCTGTCTCAAAAGATTTTCTTTAGGGAATTGTGCTTGAGTCAAGATCCAATTGGCATTGGCCAATTAGGGAAGGAGAAAGATGGGTTGGAGAATTTCTGATTTAACATGGCAAAGGGCTTGTAGCAGGAGGAATTGTTGTACCTCTGAGGGTGTGAAAACAGAAAAATGTGACTGAAGTACAGAGAGTAGGGAGAATGTGTGCACTAAGTCTGCAGGAGCAGAAAGAAAGGCAGAGACTAAGTCACATTGGGATGGATGGATGTAGGATTTGGTCTTTATCCCAGCAGTATTAGGTAACCATGGAAGGGTGTTACACAGAGCATGATATGATCTGCCATCCTACCATCTAGACCTCATTTAAACAGCATTCCCTAACTTTGTACCCTAGGAGCTATCAACATTTGTGATAATGACGTTGAGTTATCACAAAACCCTAAAATGTCTTCTGTATAACCAAGAAAGTCACATGCATGTTGGACACAGTTCCTGTGTTTAGTTTATCTTTGCAATGTAGCTCTCTGAATATCGATCATCTGGATGTTGCAGATTCATCTACTCAACAAGCATCTATTAATCAGGGGGGTTACATGTAAAGCATGGTACTAAGAATGCCTTGAAGAGTGTGAGGATGCTTATGCGTACGTTTTCTCCTTAAGCAGTTTTCTGTGAAGAAAGGGATATAAGATATGAACGGAGACGTGAATAAAAACAATGATACAAAATCAATATGATGCGTATATTGAAGGTATAATAGCAGATTGACCACATTCTCCAGATCATGTTGTATGACAATAACTTATTTTTAGAAATATGTTCCTTATGATGTTGGGGAAAAATTAATTTAATGTTGAATAGACCTAGGTGACACAAAGCTTTCAAGTAGAAACTGAAAAAATTATTTTGACATCTGGATAATTTGTCTATATGACAGGAAATATTTGAGAGTACTGGAAGTATGTAGATGATTGATGAGAGTTTGCTGGGTTCTTTCTGACATCTGTTGTTCTGCAGTCTGGAAGGTGGAATGGATCGTTTGATGGACATTAGGATTGTTCTCTTCTAAGGACAAGCCACTGTCTTTTCATGTGCTCTAACACAGGCCGTTTTTATCTATAGCCACATTTTAGTGCTGGCATTGAGAATTTGGGTCTATAAAAACAAATAAGGTCATAATCCAAACCACTACCTTACAAATATTGAAGTAGAATTGTTTGTGTCTTCCTATTGTACTCCTCCC